ACAATGTGAAACCTCACCAACTGGCAGAGTTAGGTTTTTAAGCTCTTGTGGAAGATCAGGAGGGTGGGAACCAGAGGTGGGTTCCTACCAGTTCGCACCTATTCGGTAGAACCGGTTCGTCAATTCTACTGAACCGGTTAGAAGAGGTTCCACCAGTGGACCCGGAAAGCAGGCCACACCTACAGAAGAGGCTCCAAATTTGTCTGCATCTTTGAGGCAGAAGGCAGAGATCTGTTCATTGTGTTCAGTGTCATGTTTAATGCGCATGAATAACAGGGGACGGCTCGGCCATGTTGTAGAGACTATGCAGCCTTTGAGTCTTTAGGAGATTCTTGAGGAAGGTGGAGTTCAGGACTCACCCAAAAAGACGGACGAGAACCCCATGGGAACATCCTTTCTTTATGAGCACAGTTTTTTCCCCCTACATCTCCAGTGTTCCTTCTCTTTCCAGATGTTCAGATGTACATTTGCAACAGAGAACATTATGGCTACCTTCCTGTGCCGCTGAAGCCACACCAGATGCTAGAAGATGAAGGGGACAATATTGTTCACATGCTGAGTGAAGCGATGAGTGAGTTCCCTATTTTGGTTCCCAACGATATGGATCTTGCGTTTTTATTTAATTCTAATTACAGTAACTATTGGGCAGTAAATAAATTTTGGAAACGAACATTCCCACCCCTGTCCCATTATGATATCCATTCCTTAGATAATAGGCTTCACGGGTCTAAAAGATGGAAAATAATGCACATTGATTATCTGAAGAACCTTTTAAAAACATTTCTGTGTAAACTGCTAATTCACTTTTAGATAGATTCTAAGAATAGCTAATAAAAGTGGTCAGCCACTAGATGGCAGCATACTATAAGTCTATGGTGTTTTGCCACTTAGATATAGTAGCCACATTGATTTTGATCACGACAGACATAAATATTTCAATATTGCATCATCTATTATTGGGCCAGAAACATACAAAGCATGTTATAATGAGCCTACAGCCATTGTCTGGCTTAATTTCTACCCTTGCTTTGAAGGACTTTTGGCAAATCAGAGGCTAAATAGACCCATGTTAAGCCACACTATAGTTTGATATTGACGTAGCACCCTGAGTCAATGTTTTGCATGCCATGGTCAAAACAATCATGGCTTGGCCCCAAATGCTTACCCAGTTATCAGTCTCCACCACTGCTAACCATAGACCATAGAGCCGAGGTGGCGCAGTGGTTAGGGTGCAGCACTGCAGGCCACTTCAGCTGACTGTTATCTGCAGTTCAGCGGTTCAAATCTCACCGGCTCA